TCAATGCTAATAAGAGGCAGTTAAACAGCCCTGAGAAGTTCATTCCGACTACATTTTCATTGCTGTGATAAACAGCGCATAATGCCCTTCAATTATAGCCTTAATGTAAAAAAAAAATGAAGTTCTATGACAATTTATTCCAACTAAATTGTAATTTCATTTCTAGGATGTTGCCCTTTTAATAAATAAAAACTCCACTCATCCATTCCATTGTCCTCAGGTCAGGTGCTGACAGCGAGATGAATTGCAGGAGAGAGGATTGCCGATGAGATCAATGCCATCACTATCAGTACGTTAGCGAGACTTGCTCAGCCACCAAGCTTGAATTGGGCCTCTTGCCCGCTCTCTGAAAGTGTCACAAATAAAACCTTATTGATAACTGGGACATAAATGGAAGTGTGGGTTTCAGCCTGCCATGAGCAACAAAGCAAGAGGACACGTTAGAGAAGCCCCAAAGACATATGACAAAACTTGTGTTTAAATGCCTTATTGTGGCACATGTACATTCATAAAACACACCTGTAATACATGTGTGGCTCTCTGCATTTCATCAACTTAACAAGCCAGTGATCATCAGCCTGATTAAGTAACTGAACATCACCAGCACCCCAGATTTCATCATCACCTCTGCTTTAGAATGCTCATAGCTATACTCCTAGTTATACTGACTCACATTCCTGCTTGTATTTCAAACGAATAGTCAAACACTTTTGTGGCTAGCATTATTCAATCAGCATTCTGTTTTCTAGATTTGTCTATATCATTCTCTCTCTCTCTCTCTCTCTCTCTCTCTCTCTCTCTCTCTCTCTCTCTGTGTGTGTGTGTGTGTGTGTGTGTGCGCGTGTGTTTCATTTTATAAGCCATGTCTCAGTGATTATACCCATTAACTCAAAGAAGGAAGGGATATTTGCATAAGTTTTGTACGAGAATGTACAGGGATCATCAACGTTCCGTCAAGGATGGGGAAGGGATCATAAGGCCCCACCTCTTCCAGAAGACTTACAGACACTTAACAGTTGCTGAGAAGGAGTCATATTCCTTAGTGATATAGCCGCTGGTAAATTGCCTTTGCTTAAGTAAATAATGTCTCCTAATCCGAACTTATACAAGCAACAACCCTAGTTAAATGCAGTTGGCCACAAATAAAAATCATGAAGGTAGAAGGGAGATTTGTTGTGAAGAAAGGGGTTTGATAGAAGGACAAGAGAGGATAATTAGGGGATATGGTCAATGTAAATTATCTGTATACCTGTAATTGCTAAAAAAAATAGACAAATAAAAGAATTTTAGGAATGGCATACTCGTTAGTTTTTGTCAACTTGACATAAACTAGAATCAGCTGGGAAGAGGGAACCACAATTGAGAAAATGCTTGCATCAGATTGGCCTACAGGTAAGTCTGTGGGCATTTCCTTGATTAATGATTGACATGGGAGGGTCCAGTACACTATACACCTGGGCAGAAGGTCCTGGGTTGCATAAAAAGCAGGCTGAACAAACCATGTGCACCAAGCCAGAAAGCGGCGTTCCTCTGTGGTCTCAGTGGGAGTTCCCACTTCCAGGTTCTTGCTGTGAGTTCCTACCTCAGCTTCCTTTGGTGATGGACGTTAACTTAGAATCCAAACAAACCCTTTCCTCCCAAACAGCTTCTGTTAAGAATGTTTTATCACAGCAACAGAGGTCGAACTGGAAGAGATGGGGAAGAGGGGGGTCCCAAAGTTGTTTTCTCTCATGACTATTTTAAACAACTTTAGTTAACTGTAGTTACACAGAAGAGCACTATAGAATGCCACACTTATGATTTAAAGGTATATGATTACAACACTTACTTTTAAAGGACTCACAGTTCTTCATGAAGATTGTGGGGCTAAGAGAGGGAAAAAAGGAAAGCAACTCAAAACTGTTAGATGAACAAACATTTGGGCCAACTCTGGCTTTTCCTGTGATGGAGTAAACAGCAGTTCAGGAGTGTGAGTGATTGACACAGCCAGACAGGACGCACTTCAGGACATTATGTTTAGCAAAGATTGTGATGAAAGCTTACATATTGTATGATTCCATTCCTGTAACATTCTCAATATGACACAGGCATAGAGATGAAGAACAAATGAGTGGATGTTGGGAGACAGGGATGGATGAGGGGCAGGGAGTGGTGAGCTGAGTACTAGGTCAATAGATGTGTCTGCAGGTTATCTGAAGTTCAAATGGGGCTGAATGCTCTCCAGTCTGTGTAACCCCTCTGAATACAAGCCTCCTTTCCTCAGATGGCCTCACTGTTTCCAGCTCTAGCCCTTGGCACTCACTCTTGGATGGTAACAACATTTCCAGTGTTACTCAACCTGTTCTCAATTACTAATACCTTGTACTGGAAACTGAAAGCAGGCTTTCTCCAGGGTGCCTTCCCACTGTTTGTTTCCTCCCCACTCCTTGTAAACCTCCAGGCTGAGTGTCAAGCAGATATCTCTGCAATCACATCACCTTACCCACCTCTGTTCCCTAGATATCAGTTTACACCAGCCTTTCTCTTCTCCTCTGAAGCATCTATGGCCATCTTTGCCTAATTCTTTAAACATTTCTTTCCCTACATGGTCTTTTCTTCAAAGCTATTTCTATCATAATTCTTAGTGATTTCAATGTCCAGGAAGAGAAGAATTTCAAATTTCTGTGTTCACATTTCTCCAAATTCTTTGCAGTATTTCTAACATTCTCTCCCTCCAACTGAAACCTCCACTTAAATTCACCCTGCCCACTCTCCGTCTTCAGTCTTCCTAGCTGACACACCATCATACCAGAGTTCAGCACTGGCATCCATACCCCATCATCCTAGTTCATGAACTGCCTTTGGCTCCTCAAATCTTCATGCCACTTCTACGCTACCAAGGTTCTGGGACCACTCAGGATCTCTTCTTTGCACATGCCCTGTCCCCTCTGTCTCTTGGGCCCGTTCACTTAAAAATGCAACTCTGGCTCGAGTCAACCCTCCTCCTGTCCTCACCTGCACCAGGGAAACTAAATGAAGCTGGAAATAAACACAGGACTGCTGACTGACCTCACTTTAAATTCCAGCTCAGTCTCCACAAGAGAGCCCTTCATGTGGCCAGACAATCACCAGCAGCTCCCCAGTCTACTCACTGCCCTGCTTTCTGAGGTCACTACTTAAAAGTTTTACTCTATTGAAATATTTAAGTTTCATTTTTGTCTCAAGCATTTTGCTGAAAAAAATAGAGTCAATCAAATGAGAGACTCTGGGAGTGTCCCCCAACACACACACACACACACACATACATACACACACACACACACACACACACACACACACACACACACACACCCCTCCACCTGCATTGGGCCACATGGATCTACCTTCCTTCTTACTGAGTGGAAGACATTTCTTTACTGCACTTAAAAATTCTTTTAAAGTTTCTAGAATTTTCTTCTGTCTCTTCTACAATAACTCTTGCCTCCGAATCTTCCTCATGAGTGTACAGATATTTAAAGTGAAAGAACTTTAAGCCAATACTCCTTGCCAGGTAATACTGTCCTTCCCCACTCCTCTTCACAACTTAACCATAGGCAGTCCTCTTCATCCCGAATACCGCTCCCTCTCAAGTGTTCTTTGGACTTCCTCTAGTCAGGGTTTGTTCTAGTACTTGATGCAAGTTCTTGTCAAAGGTACAAATGATATCCATGTCCTAAACGCAATGCCTACATCTCATCCCTTGCCTACCTGATCAATTGGCAGTAGCCTTTGTACATTTGGTCTTGCTGTGCAGTCAGTGCTGACTAACTTGAGACCTTCCTGCCTCACCGACACCCCCACCCCCAGTCCTGGGAGTATAGGTGCTCACAACGCTGCCCACCTTTCCCTCTTTCAAATATCTTTTTCCTTTGGCTTCTCCCTGCTTTTCCTTGTCTCACTAGTCACACACAGGCTTTACATATCCTCTGATGAACTCTCCTTACAATTCAACTTCTCTGTCTCTAACCTGAGAAAGCTATAGTGCCTCAAAGGTTTCCTCTGGTGAGTCTGGCAATTTCTAAGCCATTCAGACCATGTCGCCTATAACCAGATGCATGACACCCACAGAACTTTACAGCACTTCACTTGGCTGGCAGAAAGCCATCTCCACTTCACAGTGGAAAATGGAACTCTTGGTCAGATCATCTCCCACTCTTCTGCAGTGGACACCTCAGCCAGTCCAAACTCACAACTGCCCAGTGCAGAGTCAGTGCCTGTGGTGTGCTCAATTACAAGCTGGGCATCTGTATCACACCCCTTCCCTAAGGCTCATGGACCATGCTCAAAAAAAGAGAGGAGTGTGTATCCGAGGTTAGTGAGGACTAGACCAAAACATTGTCTTGTGGGCATGAGAGGACCACTGCACTCAGCAGCTCACAGCAGCTGTGGTCACCTGAGCAAGACCTGCTCAAGACCAAACCAGGCACCATTCTAGTGTAGAAGGGGCTTGTGAGTCCCCAGCCCCAGCTGTGGTGCTATTGACAGTTGATGGACACTGGGAGGAGAGTCAGTTTTCTTTAAGGATGTGGTCATTGGTGGGTCAATCACAATCTGGTGGATGGTCCCATACTTGTGAGAACATGGGCAGCACAAACTGGATCCAGAGTTTATAACAAGCATCCAGAGGACATGAAGTTAGGGAGGGTGGAGTGGCCAGGGATGGGTCTGACCAAAATACATCGTGTGCATGTATAAAACTTTCAAAGAATTCATCAAAATACTATATTTAAATTAAAAATTCTACTCCTCCAATTTGTCTCTACCCATGTTTGCTAAGGCACTGCACCCTGCCGATGAACTTGGTGGTCTCCTCCTTTCTGCCACACATGTGACCAACGAGCAGATGTCCACCCTTTTCTCAGATATCTGCAATCACACTGTAACAGTTTCCTGCTAATAATTTAGTCCCGCTATCTCTCACCTTGATTGTCTGCCACCTAACCTACTCTCATCTGTGCTTGTCTCCTGTGTTCTCTCCCCAGGCCAGCAGCTAGAATGGGACAGAACATGTCTATGTGGTCAGCTTTCTTCTCCAAAGCTTCTGATGGAAGACTTTTCTCCTTAGGATTGAGCACCATTTAATACACAGCATGTTTAGCTCATGGAGATTCCTTCTGTCTCTGTCTCTCCCTCTGCCCCCCGCTCTGTCTCCCCTTCCTCTTTACCCTTCTTCCCTCCATCCCTTCCTCATTTGCACACAGTGAAAAGCCTGCCTTCCCCCATTACATCACAGATCTAACATCCTAGGAATAGCTACCTATCACCCAGCCGCTCTCTTCACCAGCCGCGCTGGGCTCCTTCTAACACCCCACCGAGGCTCTGCTCCAGACCCTTAGACTGTCATGTCTTCTGCTCAAAATCCACTCCCTCCCTCACCTCCTTCACATCTTTTTCTAAATGACCCATCTGCTCTATATAAACAGAACTGACTCTCACAACGCTGTCTCACCAGGTGACTTGCTTTTCTCCTTAGGACTGTGGCACCATTTACTATCCCACACATTTTAACTTGTCCATTTCACTCACTGTCTATTTCTTGCCCTTAAAGGCAGGATTTTTGTCTGGACTAGTTATCTGTTTCAGAATCTCTATATCCTCAAGTTGCGAATATCATCACTAATCTCCAAACATAGTATCTGTGTTTGTTTCTTGGTCAGATTGTGGTCATGTGACTGATTTCTGATCAGTGGAATGCAGACCAAACAGCTGTAAACTTCCTCCGGGCTAGTCAATTAAAAAAATTTCATGGATTGTCCCTCTCTTTCTTCCTGCTCAATAACCTATAGTCTATTTGTTAAAGATGCAACCTTAGGGCAAAAGGAACATTGTCCCCAAATGACCAGCAAGGCTGACTACAAGAAACATACCTGAACGAAGATAGTGTAGTGATATGTAAGAATTGTTTAAGGACCTGTTATACCCTAAACAAAACAACACTCAATAAATACCTGAGGACAAATAAATAATATTATGTTGTTTAATTGAACTCTCCTTAAAATGTTTAACACTGTTCTTCAACATAGTAAACAAAATACAAAGAACACAGTTTAACTATTTATATAACAGGATCAAGCTCCTAGCACTGTGTCGTTTTGCAGAGCTAGTCTCCTAAAATGCTCCCCCCTCTCTTCTCTCTTCTCTGCCCACTCTGCACTGACTTCTTGCAGCTTTTCTATTGTTCCCACATCTGATCTTAGATAGGACAATCTTTGCTTCTGGGTCGTTCTTTCTTTTTCTTTCTTTCTCCCTTCTTTCCTTCCTTCCTTCTTTCTTTCTTTCTATTTTTCTTCCTTCCTTCCTTCCTTCCTTCCTTCCTTCCTTCCTTTCTCATTTTCCCTACTGTCTCTCTATGGTCTCCACTTCATAGCTGACAATGGTAAAGCTTTGGTTTCTTATTTTAACTGTCACCATTTGAAGAGAACATTTCCTGGTTTGGATGCCATTTATTATACAATGTCTTCTTTGTAAACTTGAATACTCACAATGAAAAGCTTTTCCAAATCTTTTGCTATATAATTACTAACTGCAAGTAATGAGATAACATAAAAATTGTACATAATTCTTTCTTCTTCGAGTACTCTGTGGACTCACCTTACCTGGCACTGTACTTTCTTCAAGTCTCCTGGTGACTGGTAGATTAGAGGAAACAATACTCTTTGCGGTAACCCTGCAGCTTATTTTCAAACATGGGCTTTTAAAAACAATTTTAATCTAATCAAAATGTAGTGATAGCCTGGAATTAAAATATGCTAGGAGAGGATTTCCTAATGGTTTATTTCAATGGGATGTGAAGTTAGAATTGTTAAGAAATTCAGAATGCTAATTAAGCAGAGTTAGAAAGCTAGGAATGAGAGAAAATAACCTGGTGTGAACTTCACATCAACTTTCCTCATTAAAAGTTCACAGATGCCAGTGACCAGATGGCACAAGGTTGTAAGGTCATGACCATGAGGACTCCTCAGGGGCTGTTCACTCTAGTCATTCCATCAACCAGCAGGGGGAGACACAGAATGCTTCTTGCTACCCTAGAAACAACTCCCTGAACATGGGGACTTCATCAGACCTTTCTTTGTCCCTAACAAGTAGAACAAGTTGGTCCAGGCTGACTAAACACTGCCCTTCTAAGTGTTTTTGGTTTCCTGGTTAGAGTTGAATTTTCATTCAAGTGACTACTTCTAAGGAGGAACTTGAGTATGTTTGATGGTTTGACTATACTAAATTATAGCATATATGGTGTTCATACATATTCATGTATCATATACACATAAATAAATTTAGTATAAGGTTCTAAAACATTTGTGGGTATGATTGGAGCTCTGCCAATTAAAAAGTGAACTTTCCTCTATGTACTAATCATCACTTGTAATTAATTGTAGCCCAAGAGTCTGTGGATATTAAAACAAAACAAAACAACAACAAAAAAAGAAAAGAAAAAAAACAGAATTCTTTATAGACCTGGGGACAAAGTGTACTGAGTTTTTAAAATGTCTCTGGTGGTACCAGAGGGGCTAGAGGTCCCAGACTTTGTGTTTGATCCCTTCAGAACCAGATAACTGTTTTCATCTCCTCAGCGATTAAGTTTCACACCTGCCCAAGATCTCTACTGCACACCAACTCCTAAGTTAAGTGACAGAGACAAAGGAGTGTCATGATATCTTGTATTCTGGCAAATGGGTGATGAGGTCCCTTGGATGAAGAATAATTAACATTGTCTAAAGCAGGCTCATAGAGAGGGATAATACCCAGTGTGGCTTCAAGGACTAACAGAAAGAGTGAGAGAAAAGACTGGAAACGACTGTGGAAAGGCACACAGAGAACAATATAACAAAGTGGTTCTCCTTCATTGAAATCCAGAAGGGGAATCGTGTGAGGACGGTAAAGGATGGATGGGTTGGGCAGGACTGGAGATTAGCAGGCCAGGAACAGAGCAGACTCAAGAGTAAATTAAGAAAATTCAGCTCTGATCAAGCATGTGACTATTCAAAATCATGTAGTTTTTTAGGCTCCTCACTAGACACACCTGCTGAGAGACACACCCTGAAGAAAATTCAAAAACTATGGGAACAAATCCAAAATCTTAGCACAATGGGCATAATATATGGCCTCCTCCTTCAGGAAGGTTACCTCCATGCCCACAGAAGAGTACCACAGGTTCTCTAAAGGGAAATGGTAAACTTAAGGACAATTACAACTTCAAATTTATTTTCCTACTCAATAATATTTCCTTCTCTAGGCTTTAATTTTAAATATTTAATATTACTCATGGAAAAACTTCCGAAAGAGTTTCTTGACAAGCAGTCTCTGAGACTGTCACATAGTTACAAATGCAAAATAACTCCAAACAAATCTCTATTTTCTTTTCATTTGATTTCCTCAATTAATAATTTTATTTAATATTATAAATATCTCATTATTTCCTTGAGAATTTCATGCAATATATTTTGATCTGACTCATTCCCTCCTCTTACCCCTCACTTGTTTTGGATTCTACCCTACCTCACTATCCCTCCCGCAATTTCATGCCATTTTTTTTTATTTTTAATAATTCATCATGTACAGTTTGTAGCACCTATATACTGCTGGATGTGGAGTCATCTTCTGGAACATGGTTGACCTGCTAGGTGCTACACTGTTAAAGAAAACTGACTTTCCCACTTTCAGATGCCATCACCTGTCTCTAGCTCCTCAGTTGTGCATAGGGACTCATGAACCACTTCCTCCTCCATACTAGAAGGCTAATGGGCTTGATCTTGAATAGGTCTTGTATCATAGCAACTACAGTTGCTATGACTTTATGACTGCAGTGGTCTTTCCATGTCAAGAATACACCATTTTGTTTTGGTCGTCTCTGACTTCTGACTCCTACTATCTTTTCTTCTCCTCTCCTCTGATGGTTCTTAAGCCTTGTTGGGAAAGAGATGTCAACCTTGCCAGAAGGGAGTTGATATAGATGTTCCATTTCTGGCTAAGCACCCCACTGACAATTTTTTTCTACACTTTGACCAGTTGTGAGTTTCTGCACTAACCACTACCTACCCTCTACAAAGAATTCTCTGATGAGGTCTCACATAGTCTATGGATGTAGAGATATGAATTTAGAAGGCAGTTTGATACTATGTTCACTTCACAGAATAATAGTAGTTAGTTCTTCCCTGGAGCCTGTGAGCTCCCTAACTGTGAGTTCTTGTTTTATAGTATCAAGAAGGTGTTTCCTCCTATGGAGCAGGCCTTAATCCAGTTGAAAGTGGTTGGTTTCCTCATAACATTCACACCATTATTGCACTCATGGGCATATCTTACCACACTGGTCATTATTATAGTTCACAGTTCACAGCTGGATGAGACTCTTGATGACTTTTTTCTCCCTAGCAGCCTGCATTGCCCCTTCCAGTACAATGAGAGCCAACAGAGAGGGAGGGAGCTTGCCAGTCAGTACTCACGTGATTTATCCATGTCCTGTGACCAATATGTGTGGTGTTTTCAATTATTTAATCTTTTAATTTTGTAAAACATTGGGTAGGGATAACACTTTTGGAGAACTAAATTCCTAGTAGTGTTATATAAAATGAATGTGGGCTGTTGCTTTTTAATAAGTGATTTGCAAAAAATGAAGATTGGATCTGCCAAAAATCCCCACCCAAATCTCATTTACAGCACTTTCAAAAAGGAAAATAAAAGCCCTAAATGTTTGCACAAAACCTAATTATGAGTTTGCAAGTATTTTAGGCAGCTGAAGATGCACGGCCTTGACAGGGGAGAATCGGAATGAGAAGCAGACACACTATTTCCAGGAAGTAAAGCAAGGACAGCAACTTCTGGGGCCAAACTCAGGAGACAGGATGCATATGACTCTTTCAATGGTGTTGGGTTTTGCCAATACAAAAAGAGAGAGAAATAGAGTGTGGAGAAAAGAGAGCAAAGGCTAAGAAATGGGTTCTTTGGGCAGAAGCAGAGGGCAGTCCATGAGCTTGGGTGAGCAAAAGGAAGGCAAAGAGGCTGGAGCCCCTGGGTGCCTTCTGCGAAGCTAAGGATGGAGCCACCCAGTTCTTTCTGTTTGCTTGGCCATTTCTTTCTTCACCAAGTGACTTTCAATATAAGAAGCAGTACCAAGATAGTAGTTTCTCTTTTTGCCTTGGACGGATTCTAACCCCAGCTCACACTTTAATTCCTACCTGGTTTGAAGAGATATAAGAATTGCCAAGTAAGGCATCTCTGGAATGCCCACTGTCCTAGACTCCAGGTCCAGACATTCAAGGGGAACACTAATAATGCCCCAGATGGGAGTTATATGCTTACCTGGCTCGGAGCAAAGGTCATCCTCTCTCCTTACTTCACTAGTTCTCCACAGCTCATTCTGTATATGACACATGTGACAGGAAGCAGCCCACATTTTCAGACAGACTGGAACTACTGAGAAGATGCAATATTGTTCACCCTCAGCTAAATGACCATCAGGGAGGCGTTTTGCAATGAGAAGAAGAGGATGCAGATAGCTCTCTGTACTTAATTCCTTGAAGGGTGCCCAGTCTTTTGACATTGTGACATCACATTATCATCTACAAAGTTTATTCTAAAAAAATCACACAATCAAGTCCCAAAAATGATTCACAGAAGAGTG